TCTATAATTATAATCAAATCATTTTTTGGAAGAAAAGTTCTAAAAACGGTTATTTTAATTTAAAAAAAAAAAAAGTATCATTTTTTACTATTAAAAACAAATAATATAATTATATTGTAGTCTAAGGATATATTAATTATAAAAATAAAAAAAAATTACACAAAATATTTAGTAGATCAAATGTTATTAGATATTTCAAAACATCGTGGATCTATATATATATATATATTTAATTATTTATTTAAATATTTATATGAAAGCTATTTAAAATCAACGCTAGAGGGCTTTAAAATCTAGATCTTTTTAAGTAAACAAACTGGAGAAATTTGATCTTATGCGTCTATGTATATTAAGTATATTTTAGTCTCAAAATAGTATCTAAATTTAAATAGTAAAAACTGGTATACATATATTATATTACCTTAAAAAGCTAAAATAATAATAATATTTTTATTTGATTTCAACAAAAAAAGGGTCCATAAAAAATTCAAGGAATTATAGTAAAAAAATAATATGAATTGGCTTTTAAAACATCATTTAAATTATCACACCTAGTGTTTATCAAGATCATATATTTGTGTTAATAATAATAAAAACAATAATAATGACTAAAAAACATTTAATATTAAAAATATATATAGAACAATATAAATAAGATAATGGTTTTGTTTTAGTATCGTGTTTTTCAATCTTTAATTAATAATTTATATTATCGATTAATCGTTTTATTCTATACTGCAATGATTGTAGTGTTTTTTTCATGTAATTTATTTTTCATCTAGGTATCTTAACAACAAATAATAATATACTAGTTAGAAAAGAAAGTGTTAATATTTCAGTTTAAAATATTTTAAGTACTTTAATACTTCATGTTTTAAGTGAAAGATCTGAAGATGTATCTTTTAGATTTATAATTTTTTTTTAATTCATAATAAATTATTTTAACTATGTTTAGAATTTATTTGTATATTTTATTGTATAATTTATTTATACTAACATATTTAATTGAAAAAACTTTGTCTTGGTTACACAATAATAACAATAACAATTAATGTAATTATAAAAGCTGAAAGTATTATAAGGTTATTGAATAATAGTGTTTCAAATAAACAGCAGGGCTCGGATACTTTATGCGTATATAATGTATATTTTAGTCATTCTGAGTACATAAATAATGAGTAGATATCCATGTTAGTTTGTCTTAACACTAAACAATGTGTGTTAATTAGAAATTTAATTTTGTGGGACGTATGATGGATTACTTCTCGTTAGAACAAAAAATATTCCTGTTTTACTGTATACATCTAAAATAATTGTTCACAGAATTAGGTGTCTTAGAAATGGTTCAAATAAATTGTATAAATGCATAAAGTTTAAAGTTGATAATCAGCTTTAAAGTTTTGATTCAAATTAGATAAAGCTTAGAATTTACATGTGACGGTATTACTATTTTTCGTATAAAATCAAAATACATTCTTCATAAATGAAATTGTTTAAATTGAGTGGTATTTCATATAAATTATAATTTATAATCTAGATTTAAATGATTTAAAGAAAAAAGAAATTTTATTGTAAAAAACATTACGTAACAAAATTAATTATTTTAATATATTTCTATAACAAAGAAGTTGAATAAAAATTGATAAGGTTATCCTTTTTCTCAAGTTTCAAAATGGAAAATAATTAGCGGAAATAATGAAATGTCAAAAAATTAATCTCTCAGTTGCTCTCCTTGATTTATCATTCAACATCTAATAATTGTTTATATGGTTTATTCATTGGATAATAGAAAAGAAACTCACTCTATTTTCAACCGATTATATGGTAATCTAGAAAATGAATGGATCTCAATAAAAAAACATAGCCAAGTTAATTTAAATAATTAATTTAAGTTAAGCTAAATAAGAACAATGCCGTTAAATTAAAATGTAATATGAAAAAATTATAATCTTAACTCAGTTTTAAAAAAGTTTATTTACTTTTTAAATCAGTTTAAGGATCTCATACAGTGTGATATTTTTTCTTTCCAATTTCCTAATTTATGACTAGAGGCTTAACCAATGAGTTCAAACATTTTTTCTGTCGTACCTTAAAAAAATTTAAAGAACTATATGTATTGTTATATGAATATATTATTTAAGGCGGGAAAAAGTTAATTTAGCCTTACTTCATTCTAGTTCGTTGACAAATAATTCTAATGCATTTTTCATCATAATTTAAAGTGTAAATATTAGCACACTCACACACAATATATTATTCAAGCTATTTGAGAATTATTCACAAATTCGAAAACAGGAGTGGCCTTAATAATAATTATTTTTGTCACATAACAATAATAATTTTATGTTGATTTAAAATATCACACTAATATTATTATGTGAATAATTGATATGACATCAATGTTGTGCATATTTTATGCCAATCTATATTAGTATTATAGTTTATAATCAACCAAAAAACAGCGTTTTAATATTTATTGGATTATTTTCATTTAAAAAAACATATACAAGCATATATTTCTACGATATTATTAATTTTTGTTTGATGGTTTTTATAAAATTAAAATTAAAAAACTAAGTTATTTCAATGGTAAATTATACTAATAAAGTTAAAAAGTTAATTAAAAACATTATTAACTAGTTAAGTTATGAAGTTAAAAAAAATTAACTTTTAAACTAATTAATGCTTATTATTATCAATATATATATATGCTTCATTTATTGAAGCGGAAAATATTGATCTTCAAGATAATTATGATAAAATAATGAGATTCTCCAATTCTAATGTTCGTACTAAAATGCTAATTTTGCAATGAACCTGATTAGAAGACTATCATTGAAGAAGACTTAAACGCTCCGGAGTAATATTACATAATATAATCTAAATAATTAAATGGAAATGCTGATGAGAGAATGGTCTACCTTGAACTTCGACATGCTTCTTATGCCTAGACGGCAATAATTGACGAGTTAAAAAAAAACCAATATGAATTTAGTAATAATCATATCCTACGTGTAGACTAGTTAAACTAGTTTCTCCTCACATCTTAAATGTCCAATATAACAGACATCGTCGTGTTTTTGCTATCACGTCATATTAATTGAACTGATCGCACAGACAAAGTGAATATTTGACAGGATGTAGTGATTTCAAACATTAACTCTCCAAAATCATAAAGAAATATTCTAGATTTGATTTCAGTAACGAGTGTCAATTATAACGTGTGTTATTGTCATTATTATTATTAGGATTACTTATTGTATAATAAACAGAGGAATAATCGATGTTACAGTGGCCATTGTTATTGAACAATAAAAAAAGAGACCACACGTTGGTTTTTTTACGTGGGGACGTCGAGCTAGTTGGACTTCACCAATTTGGGATGAGAGCCAAAATAATTATAACAGCGCTGAAAGAGGCATAGATAACGCGAATAAATATACGTGTTAAAGTGATGTAATAACGGTATTGTTAGTATCCTCCCACGATTGATGAAGTGGACGGTGTTTGTATATTTGTGTGCTATATGATGTCAGCAATGCAAGTAGTAAGCACAATATTGTGTGCCCACTCGGGCAAAACCCGAAGAAAGTCGGAAACACATGAGGTCACAGACGTATTACGTCAAATCGTCCCTATAACATTATTATATCAATTATATTACACTACACTCAGTCGAATTTTTACTTAGAACTATTACGAAATAAACATAACCTTATTTTTATACCTGCTGCTGTAACTTGATTTGATTTAAATTTCATTTTAATTACCACTTCGTTATATGGTACACGGATTTGATATCATTAAATAAAATGATGATTCATCTGATGCTGACAGAAAACTTCATTTACCCTTCATTGAGTTAATGTTAAAATTTTAAATTAATATTACATAAAAGTCAAACAAGTCTCATAAATTGTTTTTATAATTGTTAACAATATTCTTACGGTAGCTCAAAATATTAATGATAATAATAGTTTTAATATTATTAAATTATTAAGTGCAGATGTTAACAATTAATTTTATTTGTGTTATAACGTTAATGTGATAAAAAATGCCCAATCTAATAAAAGTATTTAAATAACTGTGTGTATTGTAAAAAATTTAACTTAAACATAATGTCATAGTAGAAAAATAATTTATAATACTATATACTATTTTTAAATCTTTTTCTATTCATTAGCCAATAATAGATTAAGCTTTTTTCTGAAGTATAATCTTCATAATACCTTTAATACCTATTATATAAGTAATCAAGTGTAATATCATTGTTTGAATCAACTAGTACAATTCATACACTGATACGACACCATATCTAATGAAAATAAATTATTATTAGAAAGTATATATTCTTTTTAAAATTAAATACTTATACTACATTTAATACTATTATGCAATCTAATTGCAATTAACTTTTAAATTCTTTAGATCAGTATTGCTTGTTTTTATAATCTAAGTTATTGAAGATTATGGTTCAACTAGGTTAGCCTGGATTAAAACAACGTGATATCTGGGGCCTAAGTGAAGCCTTTGTATCATTGACTTCTTTTGAACTTAATATTTTGTGTTACGCTTTAACAAAGAATTCTATGGCCTCCAAAATTTTTAGCCCAGGGGCCAGGTTCTCTTTCGATTTCCCATTAATCTATACTTATGATTGGGCATCATAAATGTTAACTTATTAAAACTATTAACAATTAAAATTCTCAATTCAACAAATTACAATAAAGATGTAACAAATAAAATTGTTATTTAGTTATAACAATACTTGCATTAACGGTGTACTAATTTCATCAGATAACAGCTATTGCTTGCGTTTACTTTAGTAGTGTACCATCTATCGGTAGAAATTTCAATTTATCCTTCGTAACACTAATACGCAAACTTTCGCCTTTCACCGATGTAAATTGTACAACACATGTGACAAATGTATTGTATACACAAAATAAATTAGGAGTAATATTTTTAAAATAAAGATTATTAAATAATTAACTAAAAAATAAACATTTGTATAATGGAATTTTATAAAAAAAATTAGACAACACATAGAATACAAAAAGCTAACAAAATTATTTACAAATTGCTGGTATAAAAAGTGATTTGATGAAAGGTAACTCTTGATGGTCCTATCAAAAATAAGTTGTTTACAAATTATTTTTTATGATAACCATAACTATCACTGCTGCCATAATCGCTTCCATGTCCATACTCATGATGATCATGGTGTTCTTCCTCAACCCAGATTTTTTCCCACACTGGCTTGTATACTTTTTTCCATACTGGTACTTGTATTTCTTTCCAAGCGGGTATTTTTACTTCTTTCCATTCAGTCTTATATTCAAGTTTCTTTTCTGTAATCCATTCTTGTTTCTTTTCTGTCCTCCAGATTTGGACTTTTTCTTCTTTCCATTCCTGTTTTTTTTCTGTTATCCATTCTTGCTTCTTTTCTGTTCTCCATATTTGTACTTTCTCATCTCTCCATATTTGTTTCTTTTCAGTTACCCATTCTTGTTTTTTTTCTGTTTTCCATACCTTAGTCCATACTGGTTTCCAAATCAACATTTTTTTCCATAAATCATGAGCAACATATTCCCAACCATGATTGTCTTTACCTAATTGTTTTGATCCGGGTACGTATTCTTTAACCCATTCTGGAACGTAATTTTTTTTCCAGTCAGGTACTTGAATTTCTTTCCAAATAGGCACCTGGATTTCCTTCCAGTCAGGCACTTGAACAATTTTCCAGTCAGGCACTTTAATTTCCTTCCAAATAGGGACTTTAATTTCTTTCCATATGGGAGTTTGAATAATTTTCCAGTCAGGAACCTTCACTTCCTTCCAAATTGGAACTTTAATTTCTTTCCATATTGGAACTTTTATTTCTTCTTGTGTTGTTTTCCAAATCTCTTGCTTTACAGTTTTGTAATCTTGTTTCCATTCTTCTTTCCATGTAAGTTTTTTTTTCCAGTAACCATGTGGTTCTTCATGATGGTGGTGTTCATAATGGTGATCATAACCGACTACGTCAGAGCCATAACCTGCGTCAGCACTAAAAACAAAGTGTTACATTTTTTAATGATAATATAATAGAAAAATGTTTTTGAAAAATTCTACTTAGAATAAGGTATTTTGTATGAATTTTGTTTATTTTTAGAGTAATTAAAAAGAAATGTTTTGTGTTTAGATTCAATATAAAGTTGAATTGAAATATGAATAAGTCTATAAAAGTTTACCTATAATTAATGTTTAATTCTTTAAAAGCTGTACATTTATAATAAATTATAAATAGATGTAATTATTATATTTTAGTTCATAGAATTTGTATAGAAGTAATATAAATTTAAAAAAAATTAACGTATTCATTAATATTACAGTTATTATTTAAAATATAACACAACATTAAAAAAAAATTATAATAAGGTTATTTTGTTAAAAAATATATAGAACCTAAATGTGTTTAAATTTAATAACAAACAATATTCTAGACAGCTCACTGTTTTTTTTGACGTTGAACAGGTTCTAATGATTTTTCTGGTGCTGGTGTAGGTAAGCATACAACAAGCGATACTGCTGCAATGGCAATAAACATTGATTTCAGTAGCAGCTGAAAAATATAATTTAAAAAACTTTTATGTTTATATAAAAAACTTATTTGTATTGTTTGATAAAAACTAAGAAGTAAGATGTTTCGGTGGAAAAAAAGGCATCTTTCTTCTCTTTCTTTGAAAACTACACCACTCGTCCAAGATAATTTGATGATTAGATATCCTACCTAGTGGACATGATCATTGGCTACATGTACTGGTAGTATTTAATTTAATATTAAGAGCAATCAGACATGTAACATGAAAGAGTCTATGAATCTCCGCCATTATTATTATTATTATTTTAATTTATCTTAATGTAATATGTTTAAATTTGATTGTGTCAAGAAGAGAAATTTTCTTTGAAATTTAAGAAAAAACATTTTTCGTTTATGATTAAAATTCACTAAACATTTTTCAAATAAAAAATCTAAAAAAGTGCATAACTCTTTAGAATGATGTTAAACCAGTTACATTCTATAAACAAAATTTTATTATAATTGTTATTAAACTAATGTAAGCACGCTTAATCATAATACATTTTTATTATTATACTAAATGGTCTTTAAGTCTATTAATCCTGATTTGAAAAATATTTAAATATTTTAAAAATATGTATAAAACAAAAAAATAAGTTATTTTAACTATAAATATGTTTAAATTAATATAAAAAAATGTCACAATAATTTCATATTTACAAATTAACTATAATTTATAATTTGTTCAATATAATAAGAATATATCTCTAAATGTAAATTTTTATAATTTTGAATATACAAATAATATTCTTGATTGACAAGTAGTTATATAAAAATAGTACATAACAGGAAACTATAAGTTTTTGCACATTAAAGCGACTTTAATGATGATTTTATCTAAAAATTATACAATTTCTTTGAACTATGGGAACTAAGTATGAATTAATTTATATTATATGAATTAACATAAAAAAATATAGATAAACATAATAACACGACAAACACATAATGATTTGTATATCCTATTTGTATGATAAAGTAAGAAACAATTAATGAACTCATTGTAACTATTTGTTCACATAATTTGTGAAAACTTTTAAAAAGAAATTAAAAATTAATTTATTTTACATTTACATGTAGCAAAAGTCGGCTTGTCTTTTTATTAAAACTCAATACAAAATTATCGGACTAATCTATGTGTTGAGCTTTTGCAGTTTACATAGTTTTAAATAATTTACACCTAAATAGTCAATTACATATAATGAAATAATAAATAAAGTTAATTAGTTATAACCAAGAGTATACCAAAGAACGTATTACAATGGATGTCAAAAAGTAAAAAGTAAAGCATAAAATGTATGCTCTATTTTTTGTCAAACTTCATCAAAAAAATAAATTAGTTCAGTCATTGAATTCGTCATCCCTCTCTCCAGTTTAAGACTTACTACCCTTCCCGGAGTATCAATAGGTAGGGTACCTTTTCGGGGAAGATCGCTATGGCCCTTAAAGGGCTGCTAAATCATAATAATAATAATTATTATTATGAATAGTACAATTATTGTACTATTCATTTATGATCAAATAATACTTGTCAAACCAATAATTTTTTTGTTGACACAATAAATAAAATTATTTGTATGATAATATTTTTATTCTCATAATAAATAGGTAAATAATTAAAAATTGACAATTTTATAAACTAAATTTGTATAAAATTGAACACAAGTTTACTCTATCAATTAAATTTACAACAGAGTAATAATTTTGTTGATTGAAATAGTATTTTTTTCATTATAGCGACCGTGTTATTCTATTATTATTTATTTATTTATTTTTAAAAAAGGGTTCATGTTCATTATGTTTTGTACAAAATAAATCTATAAAGTTGATTACATTTTATTACCTAATGTAAATAAAATGTAAATTTATAAAAAAAAATAATCATAGTAAAGTTAATACCTACTCAGCTTTTCATCAAAGCTAAAAATTTTGATACAAAACAAAATTTTTTACAGTTATAATTAATAGCGATAAAATAAATTAAAGTTAAAAACAATCGTGGATTTAGAAGAAATTTTCTTTGAGGGAAAGTGCATTTAACTATTTCTATTAATTTGAGAATTATTTTTCAAAAAGAGCACCTTTTTTTAATGAATACTACTAATTTGGGAGAGAGCATTGTGCCTATGGCTCCCTCTTGTATCAAAGTGAGATTAGAAAAAATAACTGATATAATTGACTCAATTACAATATTTAGCTACAATTAATTTAAAAATAGTTAATTAGTTTGTTAAGTTGATTCAATTGAATGAGTGAGTTCATCTAATTATTTATAATTTGTTATCGCTTTATAAACCGTAAATTCGGTTGTCCTAACTATGTATTTTAAATTTAGTAGTATTTATTAAATTATAACATCACTTGTACATAGTATAATAGCAATAAAAAGAGTTCATTAGGTGTTATTTTACTTTCAAATGGTAAATATCTTTGTAAATTGGTTTTAGATAACATTATTTGAGTAAATTACGAGATATAAACTAGGGCTGCTTGTTTCTTTATGAAAAACCCCTTACTAATTACTTTCATTGTCAATTGTATAAAAACAAACGATAGATTAGTATTATTAAAGCATTCATCATTCTCATATTTTATGAATGAACATTTTAGCATTGTCTAGAGTTAAGCGAAATTTTCTTCTGTTCTATTTGTACTATTTCTTCGAACGAAACGTAAGTAAATGCTTAATAACAATATCACGAATTGTTCATAGTTGATAGATTATGATGCAATGAGATTTTGTTTTGTTGGTATAGTTGTTTAATAGTATATTATTATAGCACTACTATACTTTTTTGATGAAACTATTGAATGAAATTGATCGACTTCAATTTCATATAAATTTGAATTATAATGATTTCATTCAATAATATTTTCTTATTGAAGAACTTGAACTTCATAAAAATTTGAATGTGTTATTGCTATTAAATTATTATGATAAGAACAATTTAACATTCTATTTTAATAATAGTTGTCATTTTATGTGGGTGTAGATGATGATGACTAACAAACATGATAAGACAAAAAATTCAAGGCATTTTACAGTGGATTACTGCCAAAAATATTATGGAGAACGAGATTGCCTAATAAGAAAATAATATGAATTGGGACACGTTTTATTGAAATAGATTCCATAAGACAGATAAGTTAAAAAATGCGTCTCTTAAGGCATATTGACTAACACACAATATATAACGATGTAATGTTAATGAAATGCTAGTAGAATAGTAGCTTCATGGTTATAAAGTATGATTCATTTAAAATGTCTAATTATAATTCAAAATTAATGAATGATTAGAATAAATATATTACAGCAAATAAACCTGTTCTAGCTGATCAACTGATAATAAAACTATTGTTTGAATGCTTTAATTATAATTTTTTTAAATTCTATTATAAACAAATGTAAGATTGTAAACGAGTGCAATTTGAAATTTACCCGAAATAGATTATTTATTCTACTGAGATAAATTCAAATTATGTGTCTATCAAAGATTATATATAATAAGAATCATCGATTTCACAGCAAAACTGCTTAACTCTACAGTTGAGATTTTTTTTTTTTAATAAAATCTCTAATTTGTATTTCTTATTATAATTATTTATTTTGAGATAATAGTATATTCATATTTTCTTCTTGAATATTTTCAAAAAATCGAGATACTCGATATTCAATAGAGACGACGATTTACTTATCTGGTTTCTTTAAATATGATAATATAATTAAAATAATAAAATGAGATTTTATAACTTCTGTTGAATGATATAAATTTTTATTATTGAATTTTACATTGAACATTGTATTTTTTTATTGTTAAAAAAATTAATTTACATAATTATCATATTTAATTTATTATATTATACATATTATATAATATACATATTTAAATATTTAATTTCTTAAATAAAATTGTCTATTAATGAAATTATTTGATTAATGAAGTTTATAACAATTAAACTAGAAAACAGATTCTTAGTTAACATCAATGATTGTATGCTTATAAATAAATGATTTCACCAAGATGAATTTTCTTTCACAAAAGATTGTTGTTATATTATATATAGATCAATCAATTATACACGTCAATAATAATTATTTTTGACGTCAAGCGTCAATTTTATTAAAAATTCTATACTAATGTTTTTTTTTACTATTTTAATATTTATAATATTAAATTAACTAGTTTCGCTACACAAATACTTTTTTTTATTATTATAATTAATAATATTATATTATACAAATAATGGTATACAATACCATTATACACATTTTTTATTTATTAATTTATTTAATTTTTAAAGTCTATTCAAACTTTGTATAAAACCGTTCTAGTAATATAAGTCTAACTTTTATTTTTTTTCGTAGAAAATATAAAAATGTTTATAATTTATAAAAAATTACTAAAAGTTTCATAGTTTTAAAAAATTTTAAATCATAAAGTAAGAATTCCAAAATAAATAAACATAATGTACTTACCAACATGTTTGAGCAAAGACGCACTTATTGAAATTAAAAAAACACACACACACAAACCAGAAAATAGAGCTTTTACTTAAAGATGGAAGATGAGCAGTGGGCAAGCACACTGCAAGCCCTAAAACGCACTGTAACGTATTGATTGGATGTGTTTGCTTTTTATATGGCTCGGTAATATTAACCAAAATAATTACGGGGACATCGTGTGTATTTTCAGTGGGGATCTTTGCATTCGATATCCAGAGAATTCAAATCTAGAACTCTTGGACGTTGGCGAAAGGACTGTAGTGCAAATGATATTTCTATGGATGTTGCAACGAGTAAAGCTGGAAAGACGAGTGCCGAATGTTTTTCTTTCAAACTGCCGCTGTCCGCTGTAGTCGACACTTCGTCTAAAAAAGTGTTATTATAAGACCTAAGGCGCATAGAACATAAACGCGATTAAACGCACATTTTTTACTCATATATGGCAGTATTGGTAATCTTTATAATAATCAATTATAATTAAAGAATACATTTTTTTTGGATTTCATTTGGTTTATCACGCCTAATAAACTCGTTATGAATATGTAAGATTTTTATTGATATCCTAAATTATTTTCTAATTAAATTTATCAAAAAGTTAATTTTTACTATATAATAAAACTTGATCAGTACTATAATAAAACTTGTAGCTAATATATTTTTAATTTTTTATCTTTATATTTAATTACATATAACGATCATATGATGAGTAAAGAATATAAAATTGCAATACTATACATTTTTTGATTTTTATTATTTAAAAAATGTTCAGTATTTTGATGTAATTAAAAAATTGAAAAATTTCAAAACAATATGTTGGAAAATCTGGGGACTAAGTCAGTTTACATATGTTTCTTTTTTTATTTTGTAGGTAGATGGTAAAACTTATTAAGTCATCACTATGAAAAAAACTGCGTAAGTTACACTTTTTATTTATGTTTTTGATATATATATATATTTATATACTTAATCTTTATTTCGGAATATATATTTTTAAATATAGAATATATAATTATTTATCATTAATTTTATTAAAATTAATATTTCTAGTAATTTTACTAAAGACAACATATAAACATGGAGGCGGTTTTTCTTTTCTAAGAAAATATTCTAACATGTTATATTTTTGCGAAGGAAATTGTTTTGATATTTATTTTATAAAAACTAACTGATTCCTCTTCGCTATCGTATTCTTCAGTGTTGTCCTTAAAACTTGCCGCCCAGAAAACGTGCACTTCGTGCCGTCATAAATGTAGCCCTGCATGACATAAACGATGCTGCTGACATTTAAAAAAAATGTTTTATTAAAAATAATACATTTGATTCTTATTTACGATCAAAATTATTAAACGAATGGTCTTATAATAATTACTCAACTTTTTTCTTATTACCTATTTCACAAAAAAGTATTAAGTTTCAATAAATGTTAAGATTACTTGTGAAATCGCAATTATCAACCGTTTTGTTTTAGTTTGCTATTTTTGAAAACTATGCTAAAAATAGTTGTTTCTGGGGCCTGAAAAAAGTGAAACATTTGTTTATTTTTTATATTTCATTAGTTATATAACAAAATAATTATAGTTTGAAACTTGTTTAATTCATAGAACAAATCGATTTGTAAGAGTATTAAGCCAAAAGTTACGACCATCAAACATAAAATTAAACTCTTATAACCAAGTCATAACACATAAACGTTTTATATAGACACCAATCCTTTAGTAGCAAATTAGTGTGCAGTTCCATCAAAATGTAGGTTATATTCGTACGAAAATAAAGAGTTCAAAAATAAACTCTCTTCACATTTTTAACATGCTTAACAAAGCTGATAATAGTTTTTATCAATTTAGAGTAAGTCACTATGAAAGTGTAAGTAAACATTATGACTCTTAACTTGGTATATTTTAACTGTTTTTTCTTTGAACATCGTGACCTTGTGATTAATGACCATTACTGTTAGTAACAGTCTGTTATTGATGTTTTTCACCAAAGTAGTTTGAAGAATATGATAACTTATTCTATTAAATCAACACGAGGCTTATAATCTTAGGTAGTTATTAATTTGTAAACGCGCGTTGAAGTCACTAGAATAATCTAAATGTGATGCTACCATCGACATACAAGCTAATTAATTATCGAAAAAAAGACCTTACAAAATATCTATAAATATATTAGATGTATGAACTATACTACACGTACTTGACATTTTGTTATGAGTTTCGTCAATTTAAACGACAGTTAAATTGGGTAAACTTTTAAAATCCAGTAGACAACCAATTGATTTATAGTCTTGTTTAAGTTAGTTACACATCGTTCGGTGTTTAATGTTTATTTTATTTATATATTTACTTCTTCAGATTATTAAGTTTAAGGTTAGTTAATTAATAAAAAAGGGAAAAATTACATTTTCTATACATTAAAAATAAAAAATAATTTAACCATGTTTATATTTCATGTAATTAAGTCAATATGTAATAGTAATTTATACGAACCGTGTTATACACGCGAAATTACGTGATAAAATATTAAAAAGACCGAAACTATCACAGTTATCATGACTGTTCAAAAATTGTTGTGTAAAACTACAGTTTTAACATTATTAGGTTACTCAAGTTTTAATGGATTTATTTATCGTCTCTAACAAAACTCATTCCATTTTTTAAGACATCTGTCTAGATTCTATTAATTGTTCAAATGAAGATTTATAGTTGAAAATTAAGTTTCTTAACATAATTACACAATTACATATATATATATGAATAGATTAATTTTTATTTATGACTTACAGGCAGGTATTCATTTAAGCTATTGCATATAATTTTTTAATGTAACACTTCTAAAATGTGACTTTTGTCATTATTAAATTATTAGAAAAAAATTATTATTCATAGTATTTGGCATTAACTTTAATCATGTATGTATTGTATAGTAAATATTAAATTGGATAAAATTAAGTTGTGAAGTAAATTAAACAAATATTCTCTTTATCAATGCATAAAATCATTTTTTTTTTTTATGATTTTAGTATAATCTGAATTTATTAGATATTAGAAACATTTAAACTCAAATAATGCAATGAGTATTGGTATTTACAGCAAAACTATTGACATTGAGATGGAAACTTGTATGTGATAAATTGAAAAACGAAATATACAGAAATGTGTTCATATTGTTCGTTCAAGAATTTTAACTACTAAACGCTCACCGACAAAGAAGTATTAATTAAACAGCTTAGGTATTGAAAGGAGTAACGAGTGTTTATGGCGGGTAGAATTATTAATGGATTTCAGTTACTAGAGTTTGTCGTGAATACTTTATAGCATAACGAGCGTGAAATCTATTTTCTGTACTTTCAAAACGCATATTCCTTAAATATTTCTTCATTCAACAAATTAATGCTGTTATTCTTATCAACATATTTGTAAAAAATAAGTGTTTTTGTAGGTGACCCGATCGTAGCTATACGTGCGGTGCATCAAGCCCGAGTTAGCCATTAGCAATTACCTGTAAGCTATAATATAATTTGTATAATATAACATGTAATATTTTATAGAACCTATATTTGTGTGCAGGATTTGTTGGGCTGCATTGAAGTCTAGTGGTAACGGTTGCGAAAAAAATACATACGTTTGGTCAGCGTTAGACGATCCGACCTATGAACTCAATCAATTACTTTGGAAATGTGTGGATATCAGCACAAATTAAGAAAAAAAAGTAAACTGTAATATTATTCGCGTAAACGCATATTATGTAAATATCTCTTGAAATATTCGATGAACACTCGCTGCTATTTTATTCTCAGTTGCATAACTTTTTTGTTTTAAGGAAAATATGAATTATAATTGCCTATTTGCAACGCCTATGGGGATTTAATTTTTGTGACGAAATTAAGATACTGACCAATATACAAAAAATATATAAACCAATGATGTACGACTGCATAATTGCACAATTCCAGCGTCATAAAAATTATTAGACCATCTTTCCAGAAAACGTTCTGGTTGAGATGCAATTATTTCATAGCTAATTTAAAAGTGCACTAGTCGAGTGTAATATGTAATTAGCTATCGGCTTTAGATAATGAGTACATGAAAGTGTCGGTACACATGCTAACATAGTACATACGTGTGTCTGTACACTTATCGAGATTAACTCACACGTGGACATAACATTGTGATGCGAGAGACATTTTGTATTGATGTTTTCTTGGTAAAAATTTATTATACTAACTGCGTAGCTCCTCAGAAACATATGCCGCGGCAGTACGGCTTATATCATTTGATCGTGTCGGTTGTAGGATAAAAAATAGCATTAAAATAGGTAACCCAGCGGCTTCCACAAAGAAGAAACGTGACTATGATTGCATTACTGGAAACTGGAAAGTGTTAAAACATAATTATGACAAATTATGAATTATAAGATATTACTAAGACACCAGTAGCAAATTTTAATCAAAAAATCTCATCAAAACTATTATTTATATCTATCTTATATCATTTTAATTAAAATTGTCATGATTTAAAATGCAAATTTATCATTTTTTAATGATTTATTTATATTATAATAATAAAACATTAATTTTGTTGTATAAATTACAAACATTCTTTGATAGTTCTTATACGAAACTGATAAACTATTGTAATTGTGTGTATATCCTAAACTTAAATTTATCTACAACAATACCTATTTTTGTTTAAAATTAATCAATGCGTCGACGAGTCTACCCCTAAATAATATATTATTTATAATGAAAAATACATACAAAATTATTATTAAATATGAAAACAAACTAAATTAGTTAGTTTTCATGTTTTATAACGTAAATATCATTGAATAAATAATGAAAATAAAATTTTAATTTATTTAATTTTAATTTTAATTTATTAAGCTAAAAAAGTCAATACTCATTACTTTTTTTTATAATATTAAAAAGTAATATTGATAGCAATACAACATGCTTGTGTTAATGTAAGGGCTTTATCAAAATGGTTAGGACATATTCATACAGATCACCATTAATATTTTACGTATGACCACCAAAGCTAAAGAGTCCTCCTTTTTCAATTTGATTACTACTATTAGGTGGATACAGTTCTTACTTATAATGTAGGAGTTCATGAACTCATTTTCCAACTGAAGTTAAATTAATTTCATCGTTTATCTAATTATTACGTAGTATGATTTGCTTGACCGAGTATGGCCTATCTTACATAATAATAATAATAATTGAAATACAGCCCGATAGATAAATCAACCCATGTTATGTGTTGCGAAACAAAAATAGTTTGAAATTGATTATTTTCGAGGATTCACATTAGTATTCTAACATAATAGTATTTTATTGTGTCCTCTGCCAAGATTCTGACTAGGATTTAAACGAAAATTTGTAAAATAAATTACTAAAAAACCGTTTGTTTTAGTGTTATAATATTAATGTCCTACATTTCTCCATCGATGTAATATATTGTCCTTGCGGATATCCCACGTTGATATTCTATTGTATTCGAAAAGCATTCGCTTTTCGCACAGTCTATGCGATTTGTATTTGATTTACTTTTATTAAATTTTTGATCAGATGTAGATTTGCTCAACTCATCTGTGTGTTGAATGTGGGTATCGTGTCTAGGTTGTCTTCCCTCGGTTAGGTGGATATAGGGAACAGCTTACGAGAATGAGTTACAATATTACTAATTTGACCAGGTCTAGGTTAACTAGCCGCACACCCACAACAAATGTTCGTCCTGCGCCGAAAAAAACACTCTCTTACAAAACAGTACATTACCTCGAGGGCCCGTACTCGTAATAATAATAATATGTAACGCGGTATTGCTTACTTTGTATTTTCCTCCCATTATTTTTTTTAGTGTCACGAATATTATTATGTTTGGCGAGCGGGAAGACATCTTTATTACGACGACCGCACCCGACCGTGTGAAAACTTTATCGAGTGCTTATATTTTTACATTGCTTATATTTTTCTTCTATGAAATTCCGCCAAGATAATAATGAACGCTTGGTCGCGTGTTGGCTATAATTATTATATTATGCAGACTTTCGCGCAACTATCTAATCTGTTATTTAAACTGAAAAGTAATCATTGTAATGTGAACTAAGTAGAATTATTGGAAAAAAAAGTCGTAGATTAAATACGTGTAATCGTGTATGAAGTATTTGAGGTAACTCGTCGCAGATAAAATTATTTAACAATTTTGATTAATTGCATCGTAATATTTTATTTATTTATACGATTAAAGCATACTCAAGCAAATAATTAATATAGACTTTTTAGAAGATAATTATACTGAAGTACGTAAAATCATAACTGTGAATATTCTGCTTTTGTTTCTTGTCAACTACTTTAACAAGAGGTTAATTATTTTTTAACTAATGGTTCCAGATAAGTTTGACATGCTGGACTGTCGATATATTATAGATTCATTTTTTTCAAACTAAGAATTACATCTAATGAGTTACGTATAATGTAATATCAGTGACTTTTTATTCATGTTTATTTCAAACTATTTATGATTATTTTTTTACCAACAAAATTGTTATAATGTCCTGAGCATTCCGTGTTTGTTTATATGAGCGTTACATGATGTAAAATATTTTAGTCTTAATCATTTAGCATGTAAGTTGCGACACAGTATGTCGTACTAAGCGATTTGTCAAGTCCAGCTAAGATTAATGTTCGAACGTTAGGATTTTAAATGTCCCTGAATGCTACTGCAATTGTTTTGAAAAATGAACCCACTTTATGAAATTTTATTTATAAAGTCACTATTATTCAATGATCGTTCAATTTAAAATACAAACGCCTACCGATACGACCATAATAATACAACTGTGTCAAATGATGAATGAAAAACAATCAGCTGAAGTATAATTATTGAACTACAGTTTATGAAAGATATCTTATGATTTTATAGCGAAATGATAAGTTCTGTTCTGTGTAATTTAATTTGATTGGAATTGATTTGTAACGAATGCATATACGTCACGAAAAAATAATTGAACCATCTAATGATATCAACAAGTTCGATTTCCAGTCTAGTTTTGTTTTTATTGTAGTTGAATAAATTCTAACGACGAGGATAGTTGTTGGCAGAGAGCGTACAGTAGTGTTTTACTTTTACTCGATAACAGTAATAGTAGCGACAATGGAACAATGTTTTATAATAGAGAGAATAGAACACAGTTTCTGTAATTACAATATTTTTCTTAACAATAGTTTGTATTGTTGGAGTTATCTAACCTAAGTGCGGAAGTACCTGTCAGACTCAAGTCTCTCAAACACGCTTTTGTACATCTACTACCCCGAACACAACAAAATGGTTGATAACTCAGTTTAAAAAACACGTATTAAACTGATAAATTGACCATTGGGTGCAAGTGTACAAATTTTATCATTAGTATTCATTCAAGTAGACATGATTTTCACATTCATACGAATAAGTATGTTATTTTATTGGAGCAGGCGTAAAAATATAAGTAAATTTAAAATAGAAATTTTATGATACTAATTTTTTTTTAGGTCTTGCTCCAAATTATAAAACATTTATATTTTAAGAAAAATAAATTTTAGTTAATTCTTAAAATAGTTGCATTGTAAATATGAGTACAACTAAAGCAAAAATGCGGAAGGTGCTGAAATTAAGTTATGCTCACAAACTCTCAAGAAACATAACTACTTACCAAGGGCATTAATAACAAAAAAGCTTATTTTTTATTTTTTATTAATAAAATGTTATATTTTCATATTTTATCGGTTCATCTTATTATCATATTTTTGATTATAACAATAACCGCAAACATGTTTCAAGTTGCTTTAAAAAAAAATGTATTTATTATTTATATTTATTACCAACTACTGATAAAAAAATCCTTAATAAAATATGGAAAAGTTATTTTCATAAAAATTACAGTGAATTAAGACTGGGGTACTGATATTTAATTGGTAGTGCTCTCAGTTTAAACTAGCGGGTGTGCTAGCTAGCATTCCCGATAGTTTAGTTTTTGATAATGCAGCATTAAGTAGAGAAAGCAAAGTAAAAAATAAATTAGTTAATATATGATCATTCCAACGAATACATAACCTTCCATATTAAACCATCTACTTCAATAGCTAGATTTCATGTTCTAATAAAAAAATATATAATTTCAACATTTACAAAACATAATTGCGTTATGTTGCCTTAGGGAGTTTAACAGATGACAAGTTAGCAGACGCCTTATGAGTTATACTACATTTAGGTACTGTCAATTATTAGATAAACCTCATTTTTTCCAATATAGTATGATTCTCTCCAATACCATTTTAAAGTATTTTAAGGATAATCGTTACACAATAATTTCCAAGTATTTGTTTTTTTTTTTTTTTAAGTAATAAACAAAATAATGCGTACATAAAAAATATTTTTTACATTAAATATATGAAATATATATTGAATAAAATTAAGCATACAAATATGTTATGACATGTCTTGATGATTATGTATTATGTAGGCCAAATAATAATTGTTATGTGCGAGTTTTTAAATTATTATTAATTACTCAATTTAGATTATTTTAGATGTATTATAGATTTAAGATTCTTTTAATATGAACCACTTGATTATTGAAAAATAAATAATTAAAATTAATAATTTTGTAGGGTTTCATTTGTTTTATTGAGAACAACTGCCTGAGTGCACTTTGCTATAATGAATAATCACATTGTACGAAGTGCATGTATTGCGCATTGTGCAGGCTGGAAGTACTGGACAGTCTGTGATATAAGTGGAAAGTTTAGGCGTCACACAACAAAACTTGTCGAAAGTTTATTGTTGTCAAATCGTCTGCATTTCCGATAAATTATTGATAAACAACATCTAAAATTATTAATAAATATCAATAAATCATAGGGCAACCATTTTTACCTTCTGAATTCCTGGTACAGAAATTGCAATATTTTAATTATCCACCGTATTCTTCAATAGAATGTGGCCATTAATAAATTTTCATCATTCCGCCGCTCGGCCATTGGACATACTGTTCAATTANACCATTTTTACCTTCTGAATTCCTGGTACAGAAATTGCAATATTTTAATAGCCACCGTATTCTTCAATAGAATGTGGCCATTAATAAATTTTCATCATTCCGCCGCTCGGCCATTGGACATACTGTTCAATTATCCGTTAGCCTGTCTAGAAATACATTTAGATTGTACATCTATATCTACGTTTGGTTGTGGATGACGTCTACATGAATTGTAGACAGTAAATACATACCTTCTGAACTCCTGGTACTATTTTTCTCGATTTTAAATAGTTGAATAATTAATAATTAGTTTTAAAACTACGCCTGGCAACGGGTGCGTAACATGTCCGTTGAGTTGCTTACTCTTAGCGCCTAATTTTATATCACGGCGCGCTGTATAACGTTATAGAGTTTTAATATTTTTAGATATTTTTTCTTTCACTTTGTCAAATAATACGACTAAATTATTTTTTAGGAGCTAC